AGGGAGGGAGCCCTTCTGGGGGCAAAATTCCTTCCTGATCCCAGAGTCCTTGAGGAAAAGCCCTCCAAGACCACTGAGTCCAGCTGTGACCAATCCCCAGCGAAACAGTGAGTGCCATGTCCAGCTGTTCTTGGGCACCTCCAGGGATGGGGACTCCAAAGCTCCCTGGGCAGCCCCTTCCAGTGCCTCACCACCCTTTCCATGAAGAAATTGCTGCTGATGTCCAACCTGAACGTTCCCTGGCACATCCTGCTGTCAGTGGGAGCAGAGCCTGACACCCCCCAGCTGCCCCCTCCTGTCAGGGAGTTGTGCAGAGCCAGAAGGGCCCCCCTGAACCCCCTTTTCCCCAGCTGTTCCAGCTCTGCACACTCTCCAGCCCCTCAATATCTCCCTGCTGTGAGGGCCCAGAGCTGGCCACAGCCTCACAGAGGGACAGTCCCTGAGCAGCTCCTGTGCCCAGCCTATTTTTGATATGATTTTTGATCTTTAAATCTGGGTGAAAGCTGCCCAAGCAGGAAGGTGTTAACAGTTGTTTTGGTGACCAGAGCAGCCTGACATCACTTCCTGTGAAGTTGTTATAAATAAATGCTTGTGCTTTGGAGAAGAAAATTGGCAGCAGATCCCGTGTGTGTAACCAAATTGCAGCACATTCACATGTTCTGTTTTGTTGCTCAGTTCAAATGCTCCTAATGAGCTTTACTCAGTCTCCTGACTCTGGCAGGAGCAGAGCAGCAGATGCTCAGTGAGACACAAACTGTTGTGCATCTGGCCTGGCACCTCCAGTCGGAGCTGAGCACAGCTGATCTGAGATGTGTTTCTGGATCTCTTTCAGGATTTTGAACACGACCCTGTTTGAAAGCTGGGAGCTGATCGGTCCCTACCCTTCCTGGTGGCTGTTCAATGGGCTCCTGGTGACCTTGCAGGTCTTGCACGTCATCTGGTCTTACCTCATCATCCGCACGGCCTCCAAGGCCCTGGTGAGGGGCAAGGTAAGCCTGAGGGAGGCTTCTGGCTCATCATTCCTGCAAGCCCCATTAAGAAATCGTGAGAAATTGAGCTTTTCAATGAGGGCTGGTGTTGGTTCTTAAAGGGACTTGCATCAAGAGTTCACAAAAATGGTGGTTTTTACCTTGATTGCTCTGCACTTGTGAGTTCCCACATGTGTTCAAAGGCAGGGAGTCTCTCCTGGGCATGCAGGGGGATAACTCCATTTTACAGTACACTCAAATGTCCTAAAATGGCAATTATGACACTTTTGTTGTGCACTCTGGAGTTTAAGGTGGTAGCAGGCTCTCTTTTGGACAACAGCATGGACATACAGGATGTTTTCCAACATCAGCTGGTCCTTGGGATGTGCTGGGATTGTGCTGCTTCACTGGCTTCTGTCTGCCAGTGCAGGCACTGAGCTGAGGGAAAATCGCCCAGGGATTCAGTGGGGTCTGCTGGCTGTCAAAAATCACAGAATGGCCTGGGTTGGATGGGACCTTAAAGATCATCCAGGCTGGACAGGGCTTGGAGCAACCTGGGATAGTGGAAAGTGTCCCTGCCCATGGCAGGGGGTGGAACAAGGTGAGCTTTGAGGTCCTTCCAACCCAAACCATTGCATGATTCTATGAAACCAGCAAAAAAGCTGATTTAGTAGCACAAATGCTTTTTCCTATCAGATACTGATATTCTGATCTGGGTTTCCGTGATGGCTCTGCATTATTTTGTGTTTGAATTTAGTTGCCTCTACACATGGAATGTGGCCTTGAAAAATATAATTATTCTGGTTGGCTCTGGGGGCAAGCAGGTTTCAGGGTACGAGCTCTTCCTCTGTTCCCCACAGCTGCTGCTACAAATGCCTGATTTTCATTCTCTGCAGCTGTTTCTGTATCCTGAGTTCTACACCTTTTCCCTTTCCTTGGTTCTCTCCTGTCCAGGTGACCTAGCCAGAGAAAGGACTCTAAGCTCTGTCTTCTTCATTCTTTTCTCCTTTTCTCTGTGCCAGATTGGAGCTGGACAGTTTCACCCTGTGCATGTAAGTGTGACCTGTGTTTCTGTTTGTTCACTGAAACACGTCTGTGTCGAGGCCCCAAGACAAAAGCAGAGCCCTGGTGCCTTCTCCTTCTCTCCCTGGTCCTGACAGAGTGCTAAAATACTGTTTTTTCCAAAGGTCAGAGCAGTGTCCTGGGGTCTGTTCTCACCTGCTGTCACCTGCCTGCACAACCTTCACTTTGTGCTTTTACACACCCACACACTCCAGTTTCTGTCTTTGCTCCCCATCAGCACCACACTGAGGGGCAGAGGGCAGGAGGAATTCACTCCTTCTTGTGAAAAGGAGTGAACAGCCACTTCTCCCCCAAGAACAGAAAACATGTCAAGGGATTTCTGCTTCCTTCCAGTGACCCTTTGAACTTCCAATATAGCAGGAGATTGTGGAAAGATAGCAAAAGTTCTGGCAACAGGCAGAAGCCAGGACATCCAAAAAGCCCCTGGAGATCATTAACTTCACCTGGCTTCCAGCCAGATCTTCCCTGGAGTTCAACCACTTCCTGCTGCTGCAGAGCCCTAACCCTGACTCCAGGAGAGTGAAATCCTGGACTCTTTGGAAAGCTGCAAGCCAGGGTGCTGGCACATGGAGGGACTGAGGCTGCAGAGGGAGGGGAGTGAGGAGCTGCCTTGGGCAGAGCAGGGGCTGCTCTCCAGGCCCAGCTGACACTGGGGAGGTTTGCTCTGGCACCTGCCACCACCCCAGGTGTGTGTCTGCAGCTGGGGCCGGGTTTATGGGCTCTTCCCCTCCCCTCCTGCTGGGAACGTTCAAAATCCCACGTGCAAGTCCAACAGAGCTGGATTTGCAGCAGTCTCTGAACTAAGGCAGGCTCTGTAAGCAGATCTGGATCCCTGAGCTGAGGCTGCTCCTGTTCTGAACAGGTGTTTGCTGGATCAGACACTGCCTTTATTCTCCATGCCCTGTCCAAACAGGCTCCTGCTCCTAAATGGTCTCTCCCAGATGAAGCACAGGCTGTGGAAATGGAGGTGCTCTGTTGGAGCAGTGATGTGATAAATAAAGCTGCTTAATTTTTAAAATAGCAAAGCTGCTCCCTGTAGGACAAAATGTTCTCTCTCAAACTGACACATTCCTGGTTTTTGGTTGTTGGACCCACTTGTGATCGTGGCATGAGAAATTTTTGATTCAAAACAAATGGTTTAGAAAAATGGCCGTTAACTGATCTAGAGAGGAGCCCTTGGAAGACAAGAACAACACCAGATCTGTAGAATCATCTGATCTGGTGAGAACAAGAGTGAAGTGCTTTCACAGATACACAGAATATTTGGAAAATGGAGCTCATCTTGCCAAATTGTCTTTTTCAGTGTCTGTGTCTTGCTCCTAATGTGATGACAGGCTCCTTCTTGGGAGCTTGAACTGAGCCAGGCTCAGATGTAGGAGGTAGATGTGAGTGAAGGTGGCTCATCACAGGGACACAACCTTCTAACTGCTGGCTTCTGTCCATTTTTCAACTCCCCTTCTCCTCTCCCACCCCCCAATTCCACTGGCAATGTTTAGGTATCCAAGGATGACCGCAGTGACGTGGAGAGCAGCTCTGAGGAGGAGGATGTGACTTCCAACAGCACAAAAGGAATTTTCAGCACTTCCAGTAACGGTTCCAACCGCCTGAACGGCCACGTGGCCGCTGGCCAGTGGACAGGAGAGGAGTAAGGCCCTGGGCTGGCCTTGAGCAAACACGAACTTCTCTTTCAATATCTAGTTGTGTTGAGCTCCACATTCCCAAGTGATCTTTAATCAAAAACCCCTTCCCCAGAAACCTCCAGCAGACCTGAAACGGGCACAACCCTGACCAGTCAGAGGCTTTGCACGGCACAAGGGATGAAGCCAACGACCGGGGCAAAAACAAAGCTGCAGATTTCACTTCAAGCCATTTTGTACTTCAGAAGGACAAGGAAACACTCCTGAGTTCTGTTGATATTTGCAGAGGTGTCTTTGTTTGTGACAAACTGGCTTTTACTGGGATCAGCTCGAGGCAGAGCAGGTTTGGACCGCAGGGTTCGGTGCCACTCAGCAACGGTTCACTCCCAGCAGCTGCAGCAGCTCTTGATGCTCTCCAGGAGCCACTTCAGAGCACAGAGAACGCAGGTTCCACGTCCCAGCTGCCCTGGGTGAGGCAGAGACCCTGCTCCCAGCTGAGCTTTGAACTGTGCTAACCCAGAACCACTGCTCTGCCTCGCCCCAGGCTGCTGGGGAGGTCCCAGCTGCTCATCTCTGCTGCCACCAGGGACCAGGCCAGCATCTGCTGCCTCTTTTGGTGCTGCAAACCCCTCTGAAGTCTTGACCAAAGCCTTCTGCAAGGGGGTGGGGGGGTGGTTTATTGCCCCTGAGATAACCAGCATAATCCAGGCGTTTTAAATTGTTTTCTTCCTGTTGCAAATTGTGGGTTTGAGGACCTCTCTAGACCTACTGGATTCAGTTGGCTAAGCTGGGATTGGAGGGAGGATCAGAACTGGTGGGCTGGGTTTAACTCTCCAAAAAATGAGATGTTTTGGCCCTGTACTCTGAGACAAGTGATTGTTGCTGCTCTGATGTTAGAGCTGTGGAGGAACCCAGGGCTGGAAGAGCAGCCACACTGTGGGCTTTGCTTCTCTTTTTTTACTCAATGGTACTTGGGGGCAATGGAACGGTCAATCAGGAGCAGAATTTTGGAAACTTCTCAAAGTTGTTACCATTTTATACTGTTGTTTACTCTTATCTCCAATTAAAAGTTGCTTCAGAAACCTGGGGTGATGTGTTTCATCTTGAGGAAATAGAACAGAGGACAGCATGGGGCCCTTGGCTGTCTCTGAGCACCTGGGCTGCTGCCAGGACAGGAGAAACAGCTTTTTAGAAGAACAGAAGTGATGGACTCATGGAATGCATCCCTGCCCATGGAAAGGGGTGGACCAGAGTGACCTTTAAGCCCAGACCAGTTTATGATTTGGGGGACACCACACATCACCACACTGGCCACTTGGATACGGGTTTATTGCACTCCATCTGCCTCCCCCAGGCCAGGGGGGAGCAGCAAGGTGGGGCTGGGGGCTCCCAGCACAGGCTCAGCTCCAGGGGCAGGCTCAGCTCTCAGGCCCGGGCGTGTTCTCCCGCTGGCGGCGGTGCTGGAGCATCCTCTGCACACGGACACTGCACAGGTAGCCAGCGTACACCGTCAGCAGCATCATGGAGCCCGAGAAGGCCTTGTAGCCAAAGTCTGCCAGCTGCTTTCTGGACACCATGGCTGCACCTGAGAGAGACACACAATGCCAGCATGGTCAGCGTTGGAACGGACCTGGAGATCATCCAGTCCAACCCCCTGTGTCCAGGCAGGGTCACCCAGAGCAGGTGACACTGGAGAATGTCCAGGTGTCTCCAGAAAGGAGGATTCCCATGACTCCATGGGGAACTGTTCCAGTGCTCTGCCCCCCTCCATGGAAAGTTCTTCCTCGTGTTGAGGTGAAACTTCTTGTGGTCTAGTTTATGACTGTTCCTCCTCATCCTTTTTCTGGGCATCATAAAAAAAGAGTGTGCCATCATCCTCTGACCCCTTGGAGATATTTATATGTATTAAAAAGGTCCCATCTCAGTCTTCTCCCAGCTCCCAGAGTCTCCCCTCAGAGAGATGCTCCAGATCCCTCAACATCTTTGTGGCCTGCACTGGACCATCTCCAGCAGCTCCTTGGCCAGCACTGGATGCTCACTGTGGCCAAGGGGCAGGATCCCCTCCCTGAGCTGCTGGCACGCTCTTCCCCATGCATTCCAGGATCCCACTGGTCCTTGGGGCTACTCCTCCGCAGGTGCAGGATCCTGCACTTGCTCTTGTTGAGCTTCATTAGGTTATTCTAATGAATCATTAAGTTTTTCTTTGCCCCAGCCGCTGGAGGCTCTGCTGGACGGCAGCACAGCCTTCGGGTGCATCAGCCGCGTTTTTTACCATCACCAGACCCGCTCAGGCTGCTTCCATCCTTTCACCCAGCTCGGTCATGGACACGGTCGGTCCCTGGTGAGCTCAGTGAGCACCGGCCCGCAGGAAGGCGGCGGGGAGCAGGGCCGAGAGCGCGGATTCGCGGGTCCGGTCCATCATCCCATCCCATCCCATCCCGTCCGGCCCGGTCGCTCCGGACTCCCCGCTCCTGTCCCATCCCACCCGGTCCGGCCCGGTCCGGACTCGCCGCTCCCATTCCAGCCCGTCCCACCCCGCTCCGGTCCCTCCGGCCTCACCGCTCCGCTCCCGCTCCGCCGCTCTCCCGGCCCGCGTCACGTGGCGCGGGGCAGTCACGTGCCTGCTGTCGTCACATGTGCCGCGGTCACGTGTGGCCCCGGCGAGCGCGGGAAGCGCGCGCGGTGCCCGCAGCGCCCCCTGGCGGCGGCCCGGCCGCAGTCTCCCCTCAGGGGCCGCTCCCGCCGCCATCGCCGCCGCCTCGGGTCCCCCGGCGAAGCCCGGACGGGCCTCCCTGCACGACGGAACCCGCGGGCCTTCCTCTGAGGTGCGGCTCCGAGGGCCCACAGGGGACAGTCCTTGGCCACGCGTGGATGAGGCCGAGGCTCTCCGTGCCGTACTGCAGCCCTGAGGCTCAGCGGCGCGGTGCCGTCCCGAACGTCACGGTGGCTTCACAACGGTTCTGGTGACATCCTGAGGGTCCCAGTGCCTCCCCGAGGGCCCCAGTAGTTTCTTGAGGGTCCCAGTGCCATTCCAAGGGCCCGGGTGCCTGCCCAGGGTCCCAGTGTGCCCCCAGCCCAGAGCCTCCTTTCCAACAGGCCGCGTTCCCCCAGGTCCCCTCCTGTTCCCTCAGGTCCCCTCCTGTCCCCCCTGAGGCAGCTGCTCCCTCCCGGAGCTCCTTTCCAGCCTTTGAGCTCTGCTCTCCCAGTCCTGCTCTATCTGGGGCTCCCTCAAGCTCCAAAGCTGCCAGGGTTACTCTTTCTCCCCTCCTCATCCATCTTTCCCCCAGCAGCAGCTCCGAGGGCTGCGGCACTGGGATGTGCTGAGCCTGCAGAACATAATTCCAAATGGCAAAGGGAAGACTTTTTATAGCTCGGGACATCCAGCTCCAGTGTGGTGTGTTTAAAAGCGAGAGATTGTTGGAGACCTGGGACCCTCAGCAAGGGTCTGTAGTGATTTGAGTGCTTCAGGGTCAAAGAAACATGGACAAGGGGGATGCACAAAGCATTTCCATCACAGAGGAGCTCCCAGCTAAACACAAATCCCTGCTGGATTCTGCTGCAGGTGCTGACAGGAGTTTGCATGAGGGAGCAGAGCCCAGGGACCGTCTCTCCTGCATGAGCTTCGTATCCAAACACTTGGATTCCTTGAAGCCCTTGAAGACAAAGAGAACTAGAAGTGGTGCCAGCCCTGCAGGAACACGCTGGACTTCCTTTATCCTTCCTCCAAGCTCAATAAAGCTCCTCGGCAGAGGAAGCTGTGTTGGCTCCCCCCACACGACAGTTCTGCTGAATTTAAAGGTCGCAGAGTGCCTGCTGAGAAAACGTGGCTAATAAAAGGCACAGAAACAAGTGCAGTGCCAACAGATTAAATTCCCCTTGTAAGACACCGAGCAGAGGGTTCAGAGCCCTGGAAAGGTCACTCAGTACGGGGCTCCTTTAAAGACACACAGGGACAAGGCGAGTCTGGGAAAAGCAGCTGGGAAGAGATGAATAAAATCTCACAGCGTGTCCTGGGAAGCCCCAAACGTCAGAGGAAGGGAGGCCTGGGGTGTGTGGGGCCCAGTGCAGTCCTGGCCTGGCTCCTGCTGGCCCCAGGTGAGGACTCTGGACCTGGCTCAATGTTGCAATCCCAACCCGCCATAGTCCTACAGCCAAATTTTAATCCTGGAACCGTTGCTGAGACAAAGCAAGTGGGACACTGTGTGATGTTGGGGCTAAACAGGGACCTACAGGGACGTTCTTGCTGTTTCTGGGACAGCACAGGAGGGTGCAGAGCCAGGAGGGAACGGGCAGTGCCCTGTTTTGAGTGCTCAGCAAATCCAGCAGGCACCAGTGATGCCCGCCTGAACCCGGCGACAGTGATGCACTGGAGAGCATCTCCTATCTCCTCTCCATGTTTATTGTTATTTCAAAGGAACGCTGCTAGTCAGAGACCCCTTGGTTCTGGGATTTGAATGGGGAGAACAGGGAGCCTTGCAGCATTCCAGCCTTCCAGCCCAGGTAGGATCAGTGACTGCTGGACACTCTGGCCTGAGCAAACAGCTCAGAGGAGCAGAGGGACATGTGGCACCTGTCCGGACAAGGGGCAAATTTCACAGGCTCAGTGTCAGGCCCAAGACCTCTGTCCTGTCCTGGGGTGTTGGACATCTCCATGTACCTGTTGTGGATCATATGCCAATTCCTGCCCCTGTGCCAGAGGGCAGCTTGCAGCATCCCCACATGAGGAAAAGTGTGAGACCCCCTTCCTCCTGTGACAACAGGGGAGCTCCCCAGGGCTGGGGCCAGGTCTGATGGGGAGAGCAAAAGCTCTAAACAAACAGACTCCAATGTGCCCCTGGGTCAGCAGGAGCAGCTGGAGGAAAGCAGCACATGGCTGGGTGGCAAGGAATGCCATTGTCTGTGCTGGTGCTGCCTAGAAAGATGCTCAGTGCCTTTGGAAGTCCTGAGAGCTCCACTCACCAGGTGGAGCCTGGCACGGGACTGTGCCCTCTCCACCAGACAGGGAATGCAAAAGCAGCAGCAGGTAGGGAAGAGCTGGTGTCACCCATAGGGCCCATGGGGCGAAGAGGGAGGACTTGGGACACTTGTTTTCCCTGCCAGGCAGTGCCCAGCCCTTATCTATCATGATGGCCTGGCAGAGTCCTTCCCAGAGCTGAATCCACTGTGAGGAAGTGGAAGGAGGAAGATGCTCAGCCCTGCTCAGGGCAAACCTTGGCAGCAGCAATTAAACGAGCCCTTCAAAGAGAGGAAGAGGTCAGCAGGTACCTCTGTGGCAGGCTCAGTGTCCAGGGCAGTGTCTGGGGCTGGGGAAGGGAACCTCTGCTCTTCCAGCAGTCTGCAGAGGCTCCCAGGAAACCCAGAGTCCTTCCAAGGCTGTGGCAGCAGATGAGGTTGGTGTGGGCAGGAGCTCTCAGCACATGTCAGCAGGACCTGTGCTCTGCAGGCAGAGCCCCTTACATGTGCTCAGGGTGGTTCTGCAGACACGTGATGAAGTCAGTGACAGGTTTTCCCTCGTAGCAGATCCGATACACAGCAGTGAAGAGGGGGAACCTGTGGGCAGACAAAGAAAGTCACCCCAGATGGCAGAGTCAGAGCACCTCGACTTCTGTCATGGCATGCAGGACAGAATGGGGGCCAATGGCACTGTGCCCCATCCAACAGGCCACTCCTGCCCAGCTGGTGGGGGCTTTCCCCTCCTGCTGCTCCTGAAAAGGTCCCAGCTCCACCCCAACAAAGCACAGAGATTCCAGCACTCACTTCTCCACTGCATTCTTGCTCTTGAGGATTCGATGCAGCTCAGCAGATGTCTGGGGACCCTGCAGCTTCTGCCCATTCAGCATCTCCTTCTCCAGCTGCTCGATGGACTGAAACAACACAGCAGTGAGGAGCTGGACCTGCAGCCCTGCTGCTGCACCACGTTCCTGCCCTGGAGCTGGGCTGCAGCGCTAGCCAAGCACAGGCAGATCCCACAGTGCTAAGGGGGATCACCTCCCTGCCTGCTCACCAGCTTGATGCAGAGATCACAGAATCATGGAATACCCTGAGTTGGAAGGCACCCACAAGGATCATCCAGTTGAACTCCTGGCCCCCCACAGACACCCCAACAACCCCGCCCTGTGCCTGAGAGTGTTGTCCAAACGTCCCTTGAGCTCTGGCAGCCTTGGGGAACCTGTTCAGTGCCCGACCACCCTTGTGTGAAGAAGTTTTCCTGCTATCCCACCTAAAGCTGCCCTGACCAGCTTTATCCACACACTTTTATCAGTGTCAGCCGCTCCCAGCTGTGCTCACCTTCCCAGTCTTGGCAAAAGCCTCGGCCACCTTGCGGTTGCGGCCCCCGTAGCAGGTGGTGATGAGGTCGGCAACGCCGCAGCTCTCCAGGAAGGTGGAGGAGGTGACAGGGCCCTTACAGAAGAGTTTGGCAAAGCCAATCATCTCCATCAGGCCCAGGCGGATCACGGCAGCCTTGGTGTTGTCACCGTAGCCAAGCCCATCACAGAAACCGGCCCCTACAGCCACCACATTCTGGAAAACAGTGGCAATGTGGAGGGATCTGTTCCCAACAGAGCTTGGGGCTTGGCTGCCTCCGTGAGCAGCCTGTGTGATCCCAAGCACTGGCTGCTGTCTGTGCCAGTGCCCAGCATCCCTCCTCCCCCCAGCTCCCTGCAGAGCCCCAGGCTCTGCTCACCTTGAGAGCCCCACAGATCTCTACAGTGTCAGCTTCCTGCACCACCGACACACGGAAGTTGGGGGTCTGCATCAGGTCCTTCAGCATCTGCCCATGCTTCATGTTCTTGCAGCCTGAGGAGACAAAGGGACAAGGAAGAAGATGATGGGGAAGACCCATGAGGTAGGTCCATGCTCTCCTGAAGGTCATTCACTGAGAGGAGCCTATTGCCCAACCAATGTTGCAAAACAGTTGCAGGTCCACACAGAGTCAGGCACAGACTGCCTGACAGATAAGCAATGTTCAACTTTGACATTCCCAGAACACAGGGGACAATCCATGCTGCTGTCACGCAAGACAGAAATGATTTTCTGAATGCTCAGTAGGTTAAAGGCATCTTCAAAGGTTGTAAATTTGGGGTTGCAGCTTTCTGTCCTGGTTGTCCCTGCAGGGTCCTGTGTGCTCACAGGGGTTGTGGGCTCTGCTCCACCTCCCAGCCTCCTACCCAGTGTGTTTGCTGTTGTTTAATAAAACAACACTTTGAATGCCACAACTTCTGACCCAGCAAACGGTTCTGTTTGTCTTGGCTCTGTGCACAGTCCCCAGCAGTGTGGAGGGTGTTGGAACTGTCGCCAGATGAACTTCCAAGCAGCCCTGGCTGGCAATAACATGAGATCCAGGTGGGCATCCTGTGAAGCCCAAGGAGATCAAGGATGGAAATTATTCCTAAAGGGCCTCTTGTTGCCCACCTCTTTAATTTGTGCCAGGCAGCTGCCTGCTGTTCCTGCTCCATGCTGGCAGGAACTTTTAGCTGCACAACCCCATTGTTAATGAAGCGAGTGATCCCAGCACAAACCCTGGGAATGAGCTCAGCCAGCTCCTATGGAGCCTCCTGTCTCCCCAGGGAACAGGGCCAGTTCACCCAAGGCAGCAGGAGTTTGAGCTGCACCATACTCTGCCCTTTGCCTCTTCCTGCTAATCACAAATGGAAGCTGCTAACGAGGAGGGCTCCTTACCAATGGTGGTTTCACAGAACTTCTCTTCTGCCACTTCATTGGCAATATTGGCCCCCATGAGCACGCTCATTTCTATTCCCAGTTTCTCATGGATGATGTCTGAGATCAGCCTCAGCCCATCTGGTCCTTCATCCACACCCTGGGGACAGCCAGGGACAGAGATCACAGCATCAATCACACTGGGATAGACCTCTAAGGACATTGAGTCCAGCCTTTGACTGAACACCACCTTGCCAACCAGACAATGAGCACCTGCCCCTCCTGGACACCTGCCCTGCACCCCAATCCTGCCATTCCCTGTGCTGCAGTGCTCTGACTGATCCTGATGTGCAGAGCTGTGCCCTGCTCCTCTCAGCACCGAGATCCCCCTTATGCCCTCACCCTTCTCCACCAACACCTCCAAATCCCCACAAAGACTCTGCCCCCACTTCCCTTCCTCCCCCCACTGCCCATTTCTGTTCCAAAATCCCTGGATTCCCTTAGCAGCCACCCCCAGCCAGGCTGCTTCCAGCTCCCCTGCCCTTGCCCCACACCCTGGCGAGTGCTGCTCCTGCTCACACCTTGATGAGTGACATCCCAATGGCCTCTTTCTTCACGTGGCCCTTGAGCTGGTCACAGACTTTGCCGATGAACTGGTGGGGCACCACGAACAGGAGGACATCAGCCCCTGCACAGGCTTTGAGCAGGTCTGGCTCTGCCACCTGAATAGAGTGTGACTGTTGTTAGGGACTGGCAAGATGGATGGCAAGGAAGGGCCCAAAGTCACCATGCTGAGGTCCCTGCCAGCAGAGGGGCTGGTGGGATGATCCCAGAGCAGAGGGGATGATGCCAGCTCAGAGGCAGCCACATGGCCTCCAGCCCAGCCTGTGGGATGCCAGAGCAGAGTCAAAGGTGGGCAGTGAGAGCAGCCAGGGCTGCAGCTCATCCAAGCACAGATGAAGGTCAGTGGGAGGGCATAACTGAGCCCCGCACAGCCCGGTGCACACCCTGCCTTCACACCCGGGCTTCCAGCAGCCCCCCAGAGCTGCTGGTCTCTCTCCAAAGCCCAGCCATCAGCTCTGCCCCTCGGAGACGCTGCTGGCAGCCCACACTCACCACGTTGGGGGGCAGCTTGTGCCCCGGCAGGTACTTGACGTTCTCGTGCTCCGTGTTGATGATGTCCGTGAGCCGCCGGCCGCCCACCTCCTCCTCCAGCACCCACATGTTCACCTGGTTCTCGAAGCTGCCCAGCCGAGCTGTGTTGCTGCCGGCGATCTTGGCGATGGCCGAGCCCCTGCGAGGGCAGAGGGTGGCCGTGGTTGTGGGCACCGGGGAGCCCAGGGCACCACAGGTCACGCTGTGACCTGCAGGAATGGGGACGGCTGGCACCGGCTGCCGAGGGGGGACAGGGCAGGACAGGGACCGCGCTGTGCTCGCCGAGGGGAGCCGGGTGCCCGGCGCTCACCAGTTGCCAGAGCCCACGACGCAAACCTTCTTGCCACCCATGGTGCCGGGAGCGGGGCACTGCGGTTTGGAAGCCGCCTCTGCTATTTCAAGGCTGCCCGGAGCAGGGGCGGCCCCGGCCCGCCCCCGGCCCCGCCTCGCCCCGGGGGCCCCGGGCACCCGCTCCGTGCGCGGCAGGTGCAGAGCGCTGCCCTGGAGCGGCTCAGGTCCCCCAGAACCAGGAGCCATAGGATCACGGAGTCATGCAATACCCTGAGCCGGAAGGGACCCCCAAAGACCGGGGAGTCCAAGCCCTGGCCCTGAACAGGACACCCCAACAATCCCACCCCGTGCCTGACAGCGTTGTCCAAACACCCCTTGAGCTCTGGCAGAGTCAGGGTTGTGACCGTTCCCTGGGGAGCCTGTTCAGTGTCTGAGGTCTCTGGGGGAAAATACCTTTTTCCTAATATCCATCCCATCCCCCCTGACACCGCTCCAGCCTTTCCCCAGGGTCCTGACACTGTCCCAGAGAGCAGGGATCAGAGCTGTCCCTCTGCTGCCCCTCGTGAGGAAGCTGCAGACCCCTTGGCAGGGCACTCGCCAAGCTGACTCGTGACTGCTGACCCTTTCTGCAGAGAAGCTTTTCATTGTCCCCCTCTTGCTACAAAGTGCCATTTCCCCCAAAATGAAGGAGCAGGAACCACCTGGTGCAGCCCCAGCACTCAGCTCCTGCCCCTGCCACAGCCAGCAGCACTTTCCCCTTCACACAGAGGATCCTTCCCTTGCCCCAAGGGCTCCCCGGTCTGCAGCAAAGCAGTTACATTCTATAAACAAGCAGGGTGAAGAGAATAAATCCCTTTCTGCATAATTTTAAATCCTGCATGTAAACTGTACTTCAGTTTCCTTCAAATTCTGCCCTACTCCCTTGGGCACAATCCAGGCTGCCACAATCCAGCCAAGTGGACACGAGGCAGTTCAGGATTTATTAGCACTGGCCACTGGATTTCCAGTTTTGCTCAAGTTACTTTGTTTACCACAAAAGCACTTTGCAAAGGCTTAGCAGAGAGTCTGCAAGCTGGGAGATCCCCTCCATGAAGGGCTTGCTATAAAAGGCCAAAATATGAAGAACATTTTCTCTCCAGTCACTTAACCCTGCTGGCTTTGAGAAGAAGAAGAAAGCAAGCAGAGATAATGGTGTCCCTTCCCTGGGAGTCACCAGGCTCATCCCCCATGGCAGCTGGGAGAGTGCAAGCTGTCAGCACGGAAGGAGGAGGACAGCTTCCTTCACAGGAGTCTTTTATTAAAACTGGGTGACGTCTACAAGGATACAGTACAAAAAAAAAATTTTGGTCCATGGAAAAAACCGTAATACTCAGTTAAGAAAAGCAGTTACTCTGCAATAGCTACGTTTGCCTATGTAGGACTCAGCATCCCTCCTGTGGGAGTACCCTGAGGAGTCAGGGGCTGCTTCTCCAGCACCAAGACCTTCACCCCAGTACCACGGAGGAGCATTTCAGAAGGGCAGAGGAGAGGGGAAGTCGAGAGTCTATTACTCACAGACATGTAGTAACACAGACACAAGGAGTAAGTAGTAGGGCCACCCAGGTGCTCCAACTCACAGCAGCCTCCCCAGCCGCACTGAACTGGGTGAGTGCTCATCAGTAACATGATCCTGCAGCTATTCCAAGAGTCAGACCAGCTTTGAGTCCATTTGCATTATAGTCCCGAGCACAAACACTGGGATTGGAGTGAAGAGGAGCTATTTCATTCTCCTAAGCCTGGCCACCAGTACCTCATTCCAAGAGGAGGCATCGGGGCTGCTACTCCTCACAGTGGAGAAAATCTATTTGTACATTCCTGAACCATGCTGGGCCCTATGGCAGCCCCACAGCCTAAAACTTGACTAAAAACCACAGGAGCTTCAGCATGGAAACACCTGCTAACTCACATATGCTTGGAAAAATGTCCTTTTCCAAGGACTGTCCTGTCCTTGGACCCTTGGACCCACACGAAGGAGCCTCTGGTCCCCACAGCAAGTGACACAGGACAACTGTCCTGAAGGAATGAGCCTACAACACTGTCCCTGCAGAATTCCAGGCAGCTGCTCCATCTCCTCTCCCTGCTCCAGGGAACACAAGCAGCCACGTGGTTTGCTGGAAGCCACTGGGAGGTGTTTGAAGTGCAGAGCGCTGCATCACTCCAACACTTCCACATCCCTGCAGGAAGCCAAGGCCTTGTCTCCCTGTGATCCCAGCCCAGGACAGTCCATCATGGAACACGCAGGGAATGGGGCAGGGGAGAAGGGAGAAGGGAAGAAGCAATTCTCTATACAGTTCAGTAACTTCCTCAAGGAGGAGAGTGACCTATGAGGCAGCCCAGTGCAGCAGCACCCTCTGAGGAGGGGGTGAGGGCAGGGAGGTATGTCAGCTCATGGCATCCTGCCCACGACAGCGCCTGGCACGGGCTGTAAAACGTGGCAGGGAAGAGCCCAGCCACACCTTAAAGCAGAGCCAGGCTTCAGAGCCAGCTCTGAGAGCCCAACCAGATGCTGGTTGGGGAGGAATGGGCTGAGAGAAGGCTCTGAGTCACTCTGGCTACCGGGGACACTACAGGCAGTGCAGAGTCACGGGGACGCTCGTGGAAGCCTTGGGACTGACAAGGCAACAGTCAGGAAGAAAACCAGGTAGAAATGTGTGCTCATTGGAGCCTGTCTGCTCGCCCCAGGTGTCCTGGACTTGCCCCTGAAGGGACAATGCCAGGATGAATAACGTGGGCCTCGCTGCCAGAGTGGGATTCGGTGAGCTGGAACAGTGAGCTCTGCAGCTCTGTCTCCACAAACAGCTGTGATGCTTCTGCCTGGGGAGGAGCAGAGCAGCCTATGTGTTCCGGATGCCCAGGGCCTGCTCCAGTTCCTGCCGTCTCTGCTGCACCTGCAAGAGGAGCAGAGTTGCAGCATTAACACCCCGGGTGGTGCAGCACCAAGTTAACACACTGGGAAAGGGAGAGCTCCAACTGGGACCAAGATGCAACCACCACCTCCCCCAGCACTGTGTGGCCCAAGGAGTGCCAGCACACAGGGGGACCCCAGCCTGGGGATGCTCACCTTGGAGTAGAAGTATCGGCACACGGCTTCCTGCGCCCACGGCTGGAAGTAGAACTCAGCTCTGCGCTCCTCCTCGGGATTCCCAACGACGTCAGTCATTGTCTGGGAGCACAAAGGCACAACAGCTCAGGGAGTGCAAAAGCTCTGGCTCTGCTGAGCAAACCCACCCCCTTCCCTTTCCTCACACACATCTCAGTGCACTCAGGTCAGCTTCTTACGCTTGACTCAAATCCCAGCCCCGCTTTCCGAGGAGGAAATTGCTTCCTTCTCTCTGTGGGAGCTCATTCTAATGAGGGAAGCATGTGAACTGGACCACCTTCCACACAAGACAAAGCTTCTACCTTCAAATCCCGGCACTGGGACTGGAGCCAGTCGTTGATGAAGCCCTGAGGATCTCGGGCAAAGCTCAGCATGAACTCGCGCTGTGTCTTCAGCTGGTTGATGGTCTCAATTGTTTCATGGATCTGCAGGAGACAAACACAGAATGGAACTGCTGAACAGGGGAGAAGTCAGAAACATCAAGGGATCCAACACATGAAGGCAAATTCTTACACTCTCTAGTTCACTTACACTTACCAGGATGTTCAGCTCCCAGTTTCCTGCTCTCTAAATATCACCAATTTTCCCATAGACTGGTTGCTTTAAAAATTACATTTCCAGGTACAGCCACGTTTGTAAACATGGCTCATCCCACTGCAGCTTCCAAACAACAGAGCACTCCTATTCTGTGTCCAGAGACACATCCCTGCCCAGCAACAAGGAGAGCAGATCTGAAGGAGCTTTTCCTACCTTGTTATCCAGAGCAGCAATTTCCTGTTGACTGGCTGTGGAGAGCAGGAAGGAATTCATCTGAGTTTTCAGGGTATCGTCCACCTCCACGTCAATGTCATAGCAGGCTGTCTTCTTCTGGTCATTTGGGTCAACACTGGGGATATCCACAAGAAGCCAAAATCAGGGAGCAGCTCCAGAAAGAAGGCAAAGTCTGGGACCAGTTCAAGGAAGCAGCAAATGCAGCTCCTCTGGGATGCTGCAGCAAACGGGCTGCAGGCAGGGACAGGGACAAGCCATGCCACTGTCAGCCTCAGCCCCAAAAGCAGCTAAAGCCCACGGATGGCTTTGCAGCAAAAGAAAAGAATGATTGCTCCACTAAGGTTTCTATCCGCAGCAAAGGACAGCAGGGATGTGGGAGTGCCTTTGGAAGATGGATGTGGTAATGAAAGAGGCGGCTGCTCTTGCACAAAGGAACAGTGACAGGCAACATGGGAACTGCTGCTGAAAATCAGGACACAGCACATTGTCTTCCCAGCCAGCCTCATCCATCCCTCCCTCCCACTCCCTCCACTCCTTCCTGGAAACAGGAACAGCTGTGGAGCAGCCTCACCTGATCACATGGTTGATGATGATTGGCTCGGGGGGCATCAGCAAGGCATGAAGCCTTTGTGGGATCTCTGAGAACTTCATCCGCTGCGACTCAAATATCTGTGACAGAGACAGGGCTGAGGGAGGAGCAGGGGCTCGCTGCAGCCACCCCTGCGGGGGCTGCCCACGCTGGGAACTGCTCCAGGCGCTGCTGCTCCAGCCCTGCCACTGCTCACCTGCTGCAGGTACTTGTCACAGATGACAAACTCCCGCTCGTGGGGGTCCTGCAGCTTGTGGGTCTTGATGTACTGCCACAGGGCCTGGATGATCACGGGCCGGGTCTGCGTGTGGATGCCCAGCAGCCGAGCCAGGCGCGGATCCAGCTTGAACTGGGGAGGCTGAACAAAGAGCACCGAGAGGTGAGGCAGCCCAGACACAGGTAATGGTGCACGCCCAGCACCGCTGCTCCCAGCATGGAATCATGGAATGGTTTGGGTTGGGAAGGACCTTAAAGAAATCTCCTTCCACCCCTGCCATTGGCAGGGGCACCTTCCACTACCCAGGGTTGCTCCAAGCCCTGTCCAACCTGACCTTGGGCACTTCCAGGGATAGCCACAGTTTTCCTGGGCAGTTATGCCAGGGCCTCACCACCCCCAGAGGGAGGATTTTTTCCCTACTGTGTTACCTGGTAATCCAGCATCAGCAGGACAGTGCAGCGCACGTTCACATCCCCTGGCCTCTTCACCTGGAAGCCATCTGTCTCCTGAGTCGTAGCAGTCCTGTGCCACTGGAACATGAAAGGGAATTCAGAAGCCCCCCAGACATGATTCCCCCTGCTCCTGGGCACCCAAAAGCTTTGCCAGTAAATCCCACCCAACTAGAGAAAACTCCAATTCTTCCTACTTAGAGTTTAAACAAGAGTCAATACATTTGTTCCGACCTTCAGCAAGTGAGAGGAAAAGCCAAAGTGAGAATTCAAGAGCTCCTGGCTCCCAGGAGCCTCAAGGATTCCCACCTCCCAAGTTGTAAATGACACACAAACCCCACCTGCTGAAACACCAACCCACTTTTAGAGGAAACACAGCAAAAAGCAGCTCACCTCTACTAGGTGATTGTCAGGGCCATACAGGTCTTTATCAAGTTCAATGACCAGAGATTTAAAGAAGGACGAAAATTTCCTTTTCTGCTTGGTGGCATCATATTTGGACAGAGCAGACTGCAAGCAACACAGGGAGGAAGAGGGTTAGGGCAGCAAGTCTCAGCACTCAAGCACAGCCACCGTGCACGACAGCTCCTGTAAGTTCTGACCACCTGAATTCACCAACGTGTGCTCAAAAATTGAGTTTCCAAGTGAGAAAGGGAAAGACTGGAGTTAAAGATGAGCTCGCAGGAGTTAAACCCCTCAGCAGTTACGTACAATGCCAGTGCCCTGGTTCTCAGAGCCGGGGACACAAGTGCCACTGAGCTGCTCTCACCAGTGATTCTCACAACTCTAAGAACTTTGGACAACTCATGTCCTGCCATGGGGACACCCATCGGTCTGCAAGCTGGGCTCTCGGTCTCGTCACCATCAGACTCCTTGGAAAACAGAGATGAAGGAGGATATCAAGCCCCAGCTGTGCTCTCAGACACTAGGAAACTGGTTTCATTGCCAACTCCAGATCCACAGTCCCCTCTGAGGCTGGGTACTGCCCACTTACATCCTCCAACAGCCGTCCTTCCACCCGAAGCTCCCAGGAGG